TTCAGTGATGTTCAAATCTGGTGATTGTGCTGGCCAGGAAAGTTGGTAAAGTTCACTTTCATGCTCTTCAAACAATGACTGAGCAGTTACATCTGTGTGAATGTGGCACTGACGTCACAGAAAACTGCATCGTTGTTCGGAAATGGAATCTGGATCATTGGAATGCACCTGATTACCCAACCTGTCCAGCTGCTGTACTCCCTTACAGTAATTTGGCCATGAGGGGTAATAATGCGACTAACAGAATACTGTACCACGATATTGCTGCCCAAACCATCACAGAACCTCCCCTGTGTTTCACCAGGCATTCCGGACTGTATAATTCCTTGGGTGTTGCCGAAACGTAAACTCTTCCTGATGTAGGGAACAGCGCGAAGGACGACTCATCTGACCATATCACGCGTGTTTCTAGCTGCCTGATGTCCAGGTTTTATGGTCGTGCCCCCATCGTTTATGCATCTGAGCATTACTTTCAGTAATCAGAGGTTTAGCAACTACAGCCCTACATTTTATTATGAATTTGTGAATCTCACATCGGACAATTTTTGTGGAAATGGGGTCTTCAAGATGGAGATTCAGTTCTATTGTCACCTGTGCTGCAGTTTGTGTGATTTTTCGAAACAGTCCTTCTCAACGTACGACGACCTCTTTCCGTCAGTGTTGATTTTCATCCACTGTTCCTCTTCGCTCTTGTTGTCTTCCCATGATTCGTGTGCAATGTATGCCGACATAACCTTAGAAACTATCGCTCTCGAAACATCTGTGGCAGTTTTTGTTACAGATGCTTCAGCTAAACGCGGACCAACGATCTGTCCTCTTTCGAAATCGGACAAGTCTCCCATTTTCCGATTCTTTCACACGGACTGTAACTCAACACAATCACTAATGCACTGACACGAGCACTACAGATTGTAAATAAACGGAAGAACATTCAGTGTTGCCAACTGAAATTCTTTTGATATAGCCAACACAATCAAATTCTATTCCTTAATTTCTTAGTGCATCCAAGATTTTGCCCACCCGCTGTATAAATTCAGGGCTCGTCTCTTGTAGGTCACACGCTGCTGGCAAGCATTTAACTAAATGAACTGAATTATTATTTGTATTATTATTATTAATTTTCTGCTGATGTTCTCCGACTGAAGAGCTGCGTGTACTCTGGAGGAGGAAGAGGCCTGTGACCCAAATTGTAAGCAGTTTTTTTTTATTCCTTGCAGTGCCCAGCTACAGTCTGAGACCTTATTTTGTAATGAACACTTGATATGAACTTCTATCAGTTTCCGTTATTCTTACGTATTCTGTAAGATTTTAGACACATGAGGCAATTTCCCTGTCCAACCTCAGAATTAATTATGATAAAGTGAAACTTGAGATTCTGTAGGACTTCTTGGATGGCGGATCGGACAATCGTAAGCTTTTGTTCCAACACAGGACAAAAAAATAAAACATGGTCAGACATTCACAAAACAACTGGCATGAGCATTGGAATATGCAGGCTCTTCACTCTTATAGTTCAGTCGGAACTTCTTAACACAGTCGATGTACTCGTAATTTTGAGGTGCTACTGGTTCCATAGGAACATGGGCCTATTTTACTTTTTAACCAAATAAAGCTACAGATTGATCCACTAGAATTATCTTTCTTTGAAGCCGGAACAGGTGTAACAACCTAATTCATGATAATGAAAAACACGTGTTATGGACTGGATTAGCCAAGTCTGATGCACGGGATTGAGGTACTCAGTTAATATTGTCACGTGTGCGGGTATTAGTGACAAATAATTAATGGATTACGGCTTTAGACGAAACTATTTATTGGAGAATTACGCCGGGCTGAACTACAGACAATTGCCACACGCGATAATTATAACATTTCGTAACTACGAACAATGATCACACTCTATTTTTAATGTTCCTTGTAACTACGCCATGCGAAGACCTCTGTTGGTTCTCCTCTTGTTCTATTTCTGATCACTGATCTAATCTCCGCCCTGGTCTGATCTTATCTGTTGTAATATACCCTCTTAACGTAGATCTTCGCGTACTGCCGAAAGAATACCTTGTCCAAGGGTTCTTCTCTCTGTCTTCGACGCAGTGTTGGCTAGCGTATCCGTTGCTGCAGCAGCTCAACAGTTCGGTCTCTGTTGCTTAGGCAATTTCCTAGGTAGCGGTCTGCCTAAGTTTTCATTGCTACTGAAGTATGCGTTCTTATTGTAGCCGTTGCGTACCAATGGACATCATATATCCGGCTTTTAGGCCCCACGCCACAATATATCCGTCGAGGGCCGAATATTATCGTTGAGGGGTTTCATAATGTTCCTCAGTAGTTCTTCAAGGACGGAGAAATGGTACCTTAAGTAGGCTATAAAAGCTCCTTCCTAATTCATTGCTTATAAATCTGACACTTCACATTAAATTGTTCATAATTTCATCAGAATGAGCAATCTACAGAGTGATCAGCCAAGTTTCACAATGTCATGAGCACATATAATTCAATTTCAAAAGTGTCAAGAATACCGCCATAGGACGAACGACTTCACGAAAGATTTACAAACCTACTAACTAACTTACTAACTTCATGGAGATGAGCACTTCTTGAGAAGCCTCCAATTGTTAAGCTACTCAAGAGCTTCCCAGAATTTTATGGAACCCGAAGGTTCATTACCGCGTTCACATGAGCCCTCTACTGGTACCTCTCCTGAGCCAGATCAATCCATTCCATATCATCCCATCCTACCTCTCTAATATATCACTTTAATACTGCCACGTGTAGGGATCTTTGAGCGTGACTTATAAGACAGGTTCTGGATTGGATGACTGGATTTATTGACACCTTATTCACACCACTCGGAACTACAGGCAGTTATAGCGCTACCGCTGTTACCACGCTTTACAGTTCACCGTTACACACGCACTAGGGTTCTCGGTCTTCACTAGTCGTATTCCGGAAACGGCTATATTACGTATTGTCTCAAAGTCCCTTCAAATCACACATGAAGTCTTCTTTGCACCGCCTAATTCATTTCTTGCCATTTCTTCTCAGTCGCTTTCGACTGTCTTCTCCAGAATTCAACACAGTTCTTGACAACACTAATTGAAATGGACTCTTCTTCAACTGAAATTTCTCAACTGCTGACAACTACCTGCTCCCTTGTAACATCCCGTTATGTAGTCTCGGGGTGCACCCCACTGAAAACACCGTCTGCTATTGTCCCGTATTGTTTTAGGCGTGTTTACTTATCCGTTGTTTAACAATACACGTCCTACTGTTGTGCGCGTTGGCTCTGACGGGAATGTGTTTACCGAGCAGTTACCTAGCAATACACGTCACAATATTATCCATCCACCTACGTCTTCGTCTTCCTACTGGTGTCTTTCCTTTTAGCTTTCCCACAAATATCCTATATGCATTCCCCTTCTCCCCAATTCGTGCTACATGTCATACTAATCTCATCCTCCTTGACTTAATCTAATTATACTTGGAGAAGAGTGCAGTTTATGAAGCTCCTCATTATGCAGTTTTCTCCAACCTACTAAAGACAAAGGAATTGTAAACAATAGTGGAAAAGTAGACTGCAATGTACAGTATCTGCCAGATACGCTCCATGCTGCTTCGGATGTTCATTTACATCGCACATCACTTGCGTCATTCTATTGTTGCAAAGCGAATCTCATTACGGGTGTCATATTGCAGGGGTTGATTAATGATTTTCTTTGTTTCTCGTCAAATATATACCACACAGAACACTTTTCAAATTCAAGTTGTATATTTTACTAAGACCTATATTTTATGGCACGCAGTATGATGAGTCACGCTTGAGAAAACGACGAAGCTTGACTTCAGCTTCGTGTAAAGAACGTGATTATATTGGAGCGATACAGACTACAATTAATCGTCCAACAGCATTTAGTGTATGACCTCAAACACCAAAATGCGTGAAGTAATATAGGCTTCGAAGCTATAAATAAGGATATATCTTCAAGGGATTTAACTAGCAACAAAATTAAATTAAATTCAACATTTACTGCACACATACGACATTCAAATTAAATTAATTCAACAGCATTTATTACAGACCTTGAACAAAAATTTAAATTTTCCCAACAGCCCTTAGTGTAGACTTTGAACACCAAATTCAATTTGTCAACATAATTTATGTACATATCGAACGCAAAATTTTAATGAAAATCCATTGAGTAGTTTCGAATATGACGGACAGACAGACCAGCTTTTCCTATTTATTCGTCCTTTCTATGCACTTCATACACAGACCGCATAAAACAGTATAAAACAATGCAAGTCTAAAAAAAAAATGTTAAACAGTTACAATAATTGGCGTTGAAACTCATAAAACATGGCTTTCAGTATGTTGACACGTAGTAATAAATCTATGCAAGTGAAACTAATCTCTTTTATGTTACGTATACCAATGCTTATTTCTTAATTGATGCTTGGTTTGATAATGCCACTATTACAACTGCCTTGGTTACGTAGCATCGTAAGTTGGGAAGAATTTGGAAGGTCAGAGCGTAGTGGTTACTGTATGTACCATCTGTGTTATCCCTGCATCCTGCCCACGGAGTGTATTTATGCCTTTCTTGCAGTTTTCACAATAAACAGCGATCGTTTCTCTAAACAGCATTAACCGGCTGTTATTTGCAACGGAGACGTAATGTTTCCTGTGCGGTACAAACTGTCTTTTTGTATATAATTTAGAAAGAATTGAGTCTTTAAAGGTTTAAGGTACTGCCACAGAAACTTCATGAAGGGACAATGGAAATCCACGAAAGTGTCAATCAGGTTATTCGGCCTCCAGGAATCGAACTCATACTCTTCTTAATTCGAAGTGCAATGCCGGCCACGACTCGCTAGAACCAGGAGACACTCGTTTCTGACAAGGTTGAAGCAGTCATCTTCATAATTATTCAGACCAAGATAACACAGCACACGCCTACCATTTGCCGCTAGAACACTCATTGAGCCAGTAGAGGGGGCACCGCCGTGACGTAGAGACCAAGTGCCCAGGAGGAGAAAGGGTACGTATGAGCTATGGACAATGAACGTGGTCTCCCTGCTGGGTGGGTGGGATAGCGACAATCACATGGCTGTTATACCTACGATGAGCTGCAGGAGGAAGAGTCGCTTTTTGTAGTCCACATCGACTGGCCACGGACTGGAATGGTCAATGGTTCGTTCCAGTGCCGATTTCAATGTCCTGTTGGTTCTAGTCTTGTTCATAAACTTAATTTTAACATTGACGACAGCTTCACCGAAGACGATGTTGCAGTATCGGCAAATTATGGGGAATTACGTGGAACATCGGGTGCACGAAGATGAAGCGAAGGCGGTGGCGAGAACACTACACCCCGAGCTCTGTAAGTGCAACTGAAACTTCACATACGGAATGCGTGCTTGTTCACACTGAAGGTTTTTGTTTACCTTCAGTGATAGGGACATGGGGGTCGCCAGCACCTTTCCAAGGTTGGGCAACCAGAAAATTGGTTACTTGATTTATTTTGGAATGGTAGTTGGTTGATACACTATGCTAGAAGCCGGATGAATGGTCGCGGGTTCAATTCCCGATGAGGTAACTGGATTTTTCAGTTGACCTAATCCTTCCAGACGCACTGTGGCCGTCTCAGCCTTTAACAGAAATGAGTACCAGGAATCTTCCTGCGAGCAGAGGGTCGCTGGCGCGTAAAGCTGACAGCCTTACCGCCATCTGTGAGCCCGACTGTCTAGACAATGTGGGAGCCTCAACGTCTCACAACCGTACGGGCCTCCACGGCCTGTTACAGGGATAGCTTTACATTTTTATGCTATTTCTGCTGCTTAAATATGTAACGTAGAATGCTGGGCTGAATTGTCAAAATATATCAGCCACAGTACATTGTATAAGCCATTTGAGAGTTCATTCTGCTGACTTTACATGTTTATGCGAAACCAGTAATAAATGAACATCAATTTGAATGAGTTGCGCAGATTCATAAGGGAAATTAATGTATGGGTATGCATAAAGAATGAATATGGCGCAGAGGAAAATAAGGGGACCTAACAGAAAGGAAATCACAAGGGGTGGGGGGCAGATAAAATTGAATGATGAGGGATTTCATAACGTGATTTCGTCACGAAATGTTATTAGAATGATCAAATCAAGAAGAATGGACGGAAAATGTACCAAGTATTGGATACTGAAAATAAAATATTAATCGAAACGAGTGAAGAGAAGAGACAATTTAGGAGCGTAAGTGACAATGAGAGGATGTTATTAAATTGGATATTAAAGAAATTTGATGTGGTTGTGTGGATTGGCTTAATCTGGTTTAGTAAAAGGTGGTCAGTTTCTTTACTGGCTCAGACACAAATGACTTCAAGAAAGATTTTATATACTTGTACAGCTCCAAGTTTTTCTAAAATAAAAAAAAAAAATCGGTGCTGTGGCTCTGCGCTTTAGCCCCATTGCCGAAACGTACACTGCACCGGCAGACGTGCGATTTTTTGGCCTGTGACAAGTCTGCTGTTCGTATCGGCGATTAACGTCTGGCTAATTAGTATCTTAAATGTAAGCCACTAACGAAACCTGAATTGTGTTCCATCATCAGTTTAGTTCATAATGCCTAATGGACGTAAGTTATTGATCAGATGATTGTTTATTGGTGATTCTATATCAACTACTGATTTCTGAATAATGAAAATAAGTGGAGAGGCTGATGAATAGTAGAAGAAGTGGAACACTTGAAAACTGAAAATACCTGTGCAAATCTAAAATGAGAATAGTGTGTTTCCAGAAAAAGATTCATACCAGCTACCTCGTGAATACAGGTTATACTCATTACCGTTTAATCTAAACTTTATAATACCAATCTAAAATAATTTATTTTAAATTTGCTGCAGTAATTATAGAAAATTTACAATCTTCCCGCTTCATGTAAACGCCGTGTGTCTGCTTTGTAAGCAGATGTAAGCGAGTCTTCGCTGGTCTTTACATGTGTCCTCAAGCCGTGGGGTAGTTATACTACCAAACCATGATATGCTGAAAGTCGTAAGAGGCCATCGACACCAGAACACCGGAGATGCATTTACAGATGCGTGGGTGACAGGGTTCGACCCTCTCACCCCCTCCCTGAAGTATCCCTAGTGATTTGGCAAAATGAGAACCTCTTCTGACAGCTAATTTAGGAAAGAAATTTACTGATAAAATGGCAAAAATATGTAAAACTACGCAATTAAAAATAGTTTTATGTTAACACCAAGACTATCCGACAGTTAAGTGTGGTAGTACACGTTACAAAATTTAGACACAGCGTAACAATTCTGCGAGCAAAAGATGTGTTTTATTTATCCCTGCAACTTTTATTTGAAACATTTATCACTTCTTTGCTCCCATAAATATTTAGTTAGTAGATTCGCTCAAAATCTCAGGCACGCCTTGCAAAGTGTACGCTATTGTTGTTCGATTTTAACAAAATTGTTATATGTCTCAATTTTTAATACGGCTTCCCCGGTATCAAATTTCATGAAACTCCATTCAGCAGTTGCAGTGTTGTTAAATGCGGACATGCGGACAGATATAGCGAAGCGGACAAGGGGATTTTTACAACTTTTGAAGCAAACGCACCAAAACTAGGATACACGATATAGGACAGAGGAGATACCGGAGCATCACAACGAACGGGTTGGTCTGGAGGAAACATTGTAGACTAGTATTTGGGAGGTGTTTGGTTCGAAAATAGGCTGGGTCACCGGTTATCCTGACTAAGGTATTTCGTGGGTTTTCTTAGACCTTCCAGTCTGATGACAGGGTAGTGACTTGATTAGCCATGACAGCCTCCTTCCACATCCTTCACAATTCATCATCGATACTAAAAGCGTCGATAAACAACTACGGAAAAAAGTACTAGGGCCACTTTTAGAGCTGACCGCACGGAGTAACAGAAGCGGTACGGAAATGACGTTTTGATAGTTGATAAAAAAATTTCCTCATTTTATGGAACTGAGAAATCTGCCTTGATGTCAGTACTCAGCATTTGACCTTACTTCATTCGAGTTTTGGTTTCTATACGGCTGTTATAATGAAGATCTTTTCACCGTGTTCGAATGTGCTTGCTATTGGACCATATCTCGAGTCAGTCCAGTCTAATTACCGATTTCATTGTTATTTCTGTGAGATACATTTTTAATGACCTCCCACCTATGTTTTAGTCCCTGAAAGTGGCATCTTTTCTGGAGATCTTCTGCCCAGAAATGTTTATGCAACTGATTCCCACATACAGGCAACCTGCACCGTCCATCTCATACTTCTGGATATAAATAAGCAAATTTACATGACAAGAACACTGAGACAATTCTTCTAAATGGCAGGCTTTATCCAGGTTATTATGTGATTCTGTATCCCCTCTTTTGTCTAGCAGTGTTTTACAAACTGATTGTTCGCGGACCACCAATGGTGTTCCAAAAGATTTCAAGTGAACTGCCTCTATCATCAAGGATCCCATAGACAGTCGTGTGATTTACACGGCAAAATATTTTTTATTATATTAATTTTAATGTCATGGGCATGTTAACTGTTGACTAAATTTCAGTCTCATGTAATTCACAATTATTAAAATATTTAGTTAATATTCGGGCGACCTGCTGAAGTAAATCCACGCACAAAGTGATCCGTGGTCTAGAATATGTGTTTGTGCCGATAAGCGTGACCGCCCGGCCTTTACTTTGTACTGTTTTCTACCGTTCAACTACGGGAATCGTGGGTTCGAACCACACTAGGGGCACGGGTGTATGAATTTTCTGTGTTTGGGTTCTGTGTAGATTCTTGTCCAAGGAGTCCTACGGGATGTCTGTCAACAAAATTCCGAAACACGACAAATTAGACGCCTTGGACCGCATTGGTCTGTCGTGCCAAGGAAGACGAATGCTTCCGTGCCATAAGGGAAGTTCGCGTATGCTTTGGCACTATTCATTAAACGCGTGTCTTCAGCACATGCAACCGGTTTCACCTGTTGTGGTCATTTCCTGCTTATTTAAATTTCAACGGAATATGCCATCTGCTGAGGATATCCGCCTTCAGTTGCGCTCTGGATTACCTAGCCCAAGTATGAAATAAGTGTGGCAGCTCCTTCTTGTGTGTCAGCTATATGTAGACCCAGGCATCATGTAATTCTCAAGTATGCTGTCCTGTACATACGCTTGTTCTCTTGTTTTCCTTTAGGCCTATATACTAATTCGCAATTAAAGTGTTCTATATTTAAAGGAAGAGCGTGAGCTGTCTGTCTTTCTTTCAGAGCCTGTCTAGCAGTCTCATTTTACAAATCCTAAACTAAAAGACACGTCACCAAACACAATAACCCCACTATTTGCTCTAGCTGCTATTGGAATAAAATTGTCTGATTATTACTTATTATCCCTGTGGTCTCACGGTCAGAGTTCCTGGCTACAAATCTAGAGGTCCGGGTTCGATTCCCGGTGCTACAAGATTTTTTTCTGAGAAGTAGTGGGTCTGGAAAGGGGTCCACTCAGCCTCGTGATGATAATTGAGGGGCTATTTCAAGGAAATAGCTGCTCCGGTCTAGAAAACCAAAATTAACGACCGTGGGGATTAGTTGCGCTGACCACGCGACATGCTCTGTCCGCAAAATTTGACACTAAAACTTCGCCGACAAGCGGCGGTCGCTCGGTCGGTATACTTCTTTGCGGACCAAAATCACGGAGTTTGTTTGTTTTTATTGTTTTGTTTGTATTACTTATTGCATTTCACTGAATAAAAAACGTGAGGAACAAAACCCGGTAACAAACATAGCCTCCACAATATTTATTTCATTCTAAGTGAAGAGAATGTTAAGAACGTGGACATGTATGTGCATTCTATTTAGTTGCCTTCTGCAGCCACCGTTCAGGAAACTGGGGCTGAGGTGTACGATTGCATAAAGCGCAAAACTCAGCAAAGCGTGACAGTCTTATCAGTGCTGATAAAATGTTATCAGCGCATACGTATGCTTCTTGCCAACTCAACTTTGTAAAGAAAGGATGACTGAACTGTAATACGTGACCTAACGATTATGACGCATTCGTTTAAAATCGAATTGCATTGAGAGCATCCAGTGGCAGGCCCAGGAACTATGGCCAAATTAACGTAAGCCCTTTTAATCGGGAAACCAAACACTGTGTCAAATTCATATAAAAATATATACTTCATACCTTCAAAGCTTGCGGAAATTGAATTAAAGAGAAGCATGTTTAGGATCACCACTGTCCACACATATACGTATAGCGGTATGTGTGTCCATTTTACGGCTGGGGAAAGATGAAGTCGGGCAAGGCACTGCCAAGGCGAATATTCATCACAAAAAGCCCCAGTCCAGATACATGAGTTCAT